TAACTCTAAATTTCTGCAGTATTTTTCTCCCAGAAGCACCAAGATGAGAGAAAAAAAAAGGCAATTTTGAATTGAATCCGCTTCTCATGAGGGCTTGGCTTTGTGTAGCTGTGCAACGATCAGTCATGACATGCAAAAATGGAGAGGCCCCTTTTTTCTCCTGCAAAAAACAAACCTGACCTGTAAAGGCACAAACTCCATTTGAGCCTAGCGGATGTGCGGGGACGTGTGGCGTCATGCTGTCTGAAACGCATCCATCACATGCCGGTAGTTGTGAAGTGGGGTCGGACGTCTCAGAGATGCTCGGTTGGATTCAGTGCTACAGAGCCAGTCAATATTCCAAGACCAAAATCACACAATTTTAAGAAATTCCGGCTGCGTGAATACGACAAATGATCCAGCTAAAAAGAGGCTGCTGCCATCAGAGGTGAACATCCCCATGTGGGGATAGTATAAGAAAAGTAGCATGAATTTGAAAAGCCACAAGTTTTGCAAACATTTTTAAGATATTCTGTAAGGGTCGACTTTTACATTTGGCAAAACATAAAGCCAACAAATAACAATCATGTATCCAGATGAAACGCATGAGCTCTGTAGTTTTAGCATGTTCACCTATAGGATTAGAGGCTAACAAGCATCATCCAAATATTCACAGACTGTAACAACTTCAGTCCTCTCAGTCAGTTCCAAAATGCGGTGCTCACACCGTGTGCAAACATATACAGTCTATTGACCCACCAATGAACAGAAATTTGCATCTGCGTCCAAACTTTAATTTCTCCAAATTTTATTTATTCGTTTTCCAAATGTTCTTTTTCGTTAGCTATTAACTGTGCAAATTCTAGTTTCCAATTGCAGAATGCAGCACTGGCTAGTCTGTGTGTACACAGTTAGAGGATATGGTTTGCTAGTTTGACGCTAATGCTTTGTAGTTGGCTTTTTAATTAATTATTTTTTTTTACCATTCAGGCTTTGACTGTCTCTCTGGGTCCCGATTCCAGTCCAGACCTTAAAATCCTGAAGAGAAAATTGAATAACTATTCTTCAACATTCAAAAGTGCCCTAAAACTGGGACATATATTTCCAAATATATACAACAATGCTTAACCAACTGCCGAATAACTATGGTGATAGTTAGAAAACCAGATCGAACTTCTGGACTGGAACAGCCTAATCCTTGTTCAAAATAATCATACTTGATATATTCCATTGAAATGTCACTTATTTTATTACGTTATCACTAAATGATCACTCGCTTCTAGGTTAACTGTGATGAATTTGTTTTTCCTTGTCATAACTTCACTAACTCATGTCCAGATGCTGCTAACTGAACAGATAATGAGTGTTTCAGTGTTAGCAAAAAAAACGGTATGCCATAGCGACTTTGAGAAATTATTATTTTTTTCCTTTTCCTTTTTTCCCCCCATACTTAATAACATGCCAGGAAGATTAATTTCTATCCCCAGTCCTTTCTTTTTTTTCCTTCCAAGCAATAGTATTTATTGTTTTTGATGATTTATGGATCACTTGTGCTATTTTCTTCTTCTACTTTGCTGATATTTTTTTCGCAATATCAGACGGAAGACGTTTAAATTATTCATGAAGAGCGTTGGCATGTCTGTTTGTGTTCTGCCAGTAGTTTTCATCTCTCGGTATGATTGGAATTACTGCTCGACAGACAAATGATCCCGTTGTCTGTGCCGTCGCTGCTTATTTGAAGCTTTAGTCTCACGGCGTCCTTTCGGTGCTCATCTAGTTGCTCCCTAGGAGTGATGCATCTCAAATCAAATGCAGGGATGGGAAAAAACTGCAGTGGTGTCATGTGAGGGCCTGCTTTAAGTGTAAGATGGTAAACCAGCTCAAACAACAGATAGACAAATGGATTCAAAAGGATCTGTTCTTTGATTCATTCGTCAGTCTGGCATCAGAACATTTGACTTTAAGTTACTGCTCTCTGTTGATGCAAGAAAGAAAGTTTCTTTTGGCTGGCGACTCTTACAGTTTAAATAGATTGATGCTATTTCCATTTTCAAAACTCGTCACAGTTGCAAAGATATACAAGTGTCTTCATAATTTGCTACTTCTTAGATGGAGTTGACAAAAAGAACTTGACCTCACCTTTGTCATTTTCCCTGCTTGTCCTGAGGTGTGTTTGTGAGAGGAAACATACCTGAAAATGGTTCATTTTTTGGTATCCTTGGTGCCAGTAAGTTCTCTAGGGAATAAAAAGTGACACTACATATTGGTAAATGCTTTGGTTAAAAATAGGGATGCTTAAATTTAAAACGAAACAATGTTAAAGAGAGAAAAACCTGAATTGGATATAACAGCTCAGGAAGTACAGGAATTGTAGTCAATGTTTTATTCCCAAACACATGTATTTTTTTAATGCTGCGACTCATATTTGACATCGCCTTCTAATTTGCTCCTCACTTCGAAATCACTTGGATCACATAAATTACACAGCTCCTACCAAAAAAAACTGAAACTCGTAATAGTTTTTTGGACCCTCTTCAGCCCTGATAGCAGCCTACACTGGGATGTGTCGATGAACCTCAGTGATGCCACAGCATTTATCTCCGTCCAGAGTTGGAGTCATTTCTGGATCTTTCAGTGATGATGGGAGAGCCTGAGTCTTCTCCAGTAAGGTCCCAGTGATCCTGGATGGGGTTGAAGGTCTGGATTCTCTGGTGGCTGATCCATGAGAGAAACTGATGCCTCAAGCTCCCTTCCTTACCAAAGAATCATCCTAGAAAATGCCCATGCCCCATTCAGCGTATTGATGGAGGGAGCCGACCTACCCCGTAATATCCACACATGACACGGCCCCCATCCGTGTGGACCATGTGGTGGGCATCACATCCTCCATCATCATTGTTTGATGGATCTCCACCCATCTACCTTAACACCCTCTCAAAGCCCAATGTCACAGCCCACCCACTCCGTTCCTCAAAAGAGCGCCAGCTACCACAGCCCACAAGTCAATCTAGACTCTTCTAATCTACAGTTCTACGCTGATGGAACTACCTTACAATCACAATCTACAACCTCTTTTTCTAAGTGGCTTTGGATAAAAGTGTCAAATGTAAATCCGCCACTCTTTTTCCCCCGATGCTCCCGTTACTCTGGAACAGGGTAAATCTGAACTCATCTGACCACATCTCCTTCTTCCATTGAGTCCGATCTTCATGCTGTCTTGTGAGGTAAAGCCTTTCTCTCTGATTGGCTTCACTGATTAGTGGTTTTTGCTCGCAGCTGTTTAGGTCCAATCCCTTCAGTTCGCTTCACATTTTGTGGGTGGAAGTTTTCCTACTTTCTCAATGAAACACAATTCACACCCTTTCATTATGATCACTCAAGATTTTTTGGACTGCATTTCTTCTGCCCATGAGGAGGTTTCCCCACTCTACTTCCAGATTTTAATCATGTGCCGGTCGGACAGTTCTTAACCCAATTTTAGTGGTTTCTATCATAATCTTTCCTTCAACAGCCTCATTTGACAATGAGAAGCTGGGAGGCTCTTAACTATTTGGTAAGTAAAGTCCAGGAAGTGACTTTGTGTTTTGGACGTGGAGTGTAGAAGCAAAATTTTTTTATTTATCCTTATGTTTTTTATTCATTTCACAATTTTTGTAGCATCTCGACATTCTCTAGCTTTAGGATCCTAATTGTGTTGCATCTGCAGAAGTCGGGACAGAACAGTGTATTTGAAAGGGGGCGGTTTTTCAGTGGAATGGTACAGATTAAGCGGGGACCTCTGGTTGGCTTTGTGCTCTTTTTTAAGTTTCTAGCGTCTAACATGACCCCCTTTTTTGGTTCTAACTTGTTTTCCCACGTCC